AGCAACTGATTCACTAGTTACTAGTTCGCTGATTCATCAATTCTCTTTTTGCACTGGGTCAAAGAATCTGCCTCCACAACATCCTGTGGCAATGAGTTATATAAGTTAGTTAACAAACTGTGTGAAAAAGCACTTACTCGTTATCCAATAGCTTCACTTTATTATTTATGATCTCTCAAAGTACTAGAACTAGAGGATATAAATCCCCATTTGCTCTCTCTTTACTATTTAACATTTTGTAGATCTACATCATGTTCCCCATCAAGCTACTCTTTTCTACACTAAAACAAATCCTAGTCTATTTAGTCTCCTCTCATGTGCATGTGTTTGTTTCCATTCTCCACAAAGTAAAGGTTTAAATTGCTAAATCTCATGGGACCTGTTGCAGACCAGAGCTGTTCTTGCACAGACCACATGCTTTCCTTTGCTAGCTCATGATGGCAGAATTGTTCTTATAGAGAGGTTCCACAGTGAGGAAGAGTGTCATGAGAGTATTGATCTCCACCTTTTTGGTGATCATTGGGAACTGGTGCACAAGCACCCCTTCCACACGCAAATCCTCAATTGTTACTTGACATTTCATGAACCTGTTCCCCAACTCTACAAAGCTTATAGTGTGAGAAATATGTCCAGATATCCAAGCAGGAATGGGAAGAAGAACTTTAGCAAGAGTTAACTGAAAAGCACTGGGCCAAAATATGGGGCAATACTTTGGAAGTCACTAATGCTCAAAAATTAAAATTAAATCAGGGTACAAAACAGAAGTTGCATCTGTTCTGGGAGAAAGCCATTTTAAATCAGAGGACAAAGTGAACTATTCAGACATCCATGTCCACTGCCCTAGGACAACCACTAAAAAGGTTCACAACATAAGAAGTGCTTACTGTTTGTCCCAGAACATTACAAAATATGTCTGAACAGTTGTCCCAGGACTCTATCGACTGCATCAGTGGCAGAAAAGCAGCAGTGTATTCAGCTGCTCATTAAACCCTGATAGGAAGGGCAGCATGTACGCATTACATTTTGGGATTTTTCTGTTCCATGACAAAAGAGGCACAACTTGTGCCAGGACAAATGCAATATTTGTCCTTAGCCTTAGTGAAACATGCTACATGAAAGTTTTCATGTGGCTAAATGGATGGGTTCTTTGGCAACAGTCTGGAAAAACAGCTATTCTAGAGTTATGCAAAAAACTTAACCATTCTGAGAGAAGAGGGGGAGAAATGATTGTCTGAAAAAGACCTAAAATACAGTTAGCAAGTACACCCAACCTTTGCATAATGAGATACCCCAAAGCCCAATTTATAAAAGCTATGGAGTTAGGCCTGTAGCCCCTGATTCTATCACCAGACAGTTTATATGATGGAAACTGGAGAGATAGAAGTACCCCTCAACTACTGGTCCCTATTCACTGAGCAGCTGAAGAGTACCTTGCATTAGTAAAAAAAAAAAATTAAACTAGGAACCATCAGATTTCATCTGTACAATTAAGGGAAGACACAAAATTGCTTCACAAATATAGGTACACACTCTGGATCATTAGTTTCTCAATATGTATACTGTCCTGTATTTGTAGGACTTTGAATAAATTCTTAGCAACCTATGATTAAGGTCCATAGTGATAAGGAAACAAGAGCTATCGCAATATTTTGCAGTAGCTCAGCAAACAAACTTACATCTTCGTTCTCTATCGTCCACTAACAAAGAATAATATTTCTCAAGGATTTTAAACATTTTTTTCCTATAAAGCACTAAGTTAAAAAAAAAGTCCCGAGTAGTGGGTGATCCTGAAATATCATCATCATTTTGGTAAGGCAAGCAATTTGTTTTGTAAAAAGAATGTAGTACTTATCAAATCAGAAGGATATGCACACTTTACAATTAAATAATTCTTTGAAGGTTTACGTGATTAAATGGTTTCTATTAATAGACTGCAAATGCAGACATCATTCCTTACAACCACAAATATTTGTGAAGGCACTTTCCCAACAACATATCCAGCATTGTAAATTATCGATTAAACAGAAAGTGGTACAACCTAAAAATTAATACAATATTTAACACTGCTGTCAGACCAAAATGCAGAGCAGAAATGACTGCATTGTAGTTATTACATAGTTTTTTTTTTTCCTTTTAAGCATTAATTGATTAAATCTATGCATGTGTTTAATCTCCTTCTCGAATAGGCACCAGGAATTTATTTTCCCATGATCTTTAAGGAAAGGTCAGTTTCCTGTTTTAGTAATCTTTAAAAATCTTGTCTTGCATCAGGTCACTGGAATCTTTCACACAATCTTTACAGTTTAAAGCCCTTTTCATTATATCTATGAATTGTCACACAGCCATGATACGATACTGGCCTGGGCATGGCTGCTACTCCTGTGATAATGCCCGTTGCAGGATCATAACAGAGAATGGTGTCTGTGGCTTCTCCATTTTCTCGTCTTCCACCAAGGATATAGATTTTGCCATTACATACAGACATGCCACAATTTTCCTGTTTACCAAATATACAAACAGATACATGACTATTAAAAAATACTCAAAACAAACAGAAGACCAAAACACAAACCTGAAGCTCTAGTCAAATCTGGTACAGCATTTTGACTACCACACAAGGCAGCAGTTCTCAGCTGGGATGCTATGAGAACATGTCAAGTGTGCTGTGATGCTGGAACTGCCACCTTCACTGAAGTATGAAACTATTCAGCACAACTCAGTTTTCAAGGGTTGCATACCTTAACTGAGAAGTGGCTGCACCAGAAAGGACGCCTTTCTGCATTACATTAAATAGGCAAGTGTGCCATTTCTGCTGCTGCTTTTCCTGGTTTGGCTCTGACATACTTCCTGAAAACAGAGGCACACAGAGCAGTTTGGCCTGGTGGCAGCAGCATTTATCTCCAGGCTGTTACTGCCACCACAGGGTGAAACTGTCCCAAATAAACATGAATAGGAACAGGAAGGAGAACATAAGAGAACAGAAGTAGAAAATGAAGAGGGAAAAAAAGGAGAGAAAAAAATTATGAAACCAACAGCAGAGTAAATATGAGATAAAAAAGGGGGATGCTAGGTCTAAATGAAGTTACTTTAAAAAAAAAAGTAAAGATGGAAAGAGGATGTGAGCAAAGAAATATTAAGAAGTATTAAGAGGAAGAGATGGAAGAAAGGAAAAAAGGGGAGACAGGAGCAAATCTCTTTTAGGACAAGTCAACTGCTTTACTTTGTAGTACTGCATGAACAGGTTTAAATTTTTTAATATATCCATCTATCGACAGATATATAAATATATCTATATATCTCTATACAACTATAGTTGTATGTCATCTTCTAGAAATAAACTTCAACGTGTGTGAGACAGACAGGAGTGTGAAGCTTTGGTAGCTGATTCGATCCAGAGGAGATTCGGCTCAATTTGGCAGCTGAATCTCCAAATCCGCACCAAAAAAAACTGGGAGACCCATTAATCTCTCCAAATCTAATTGGAGGCCTCAGAATACATTCAGAGAGATTCGGCCATAGACTGTACAGACAGGCACTAGGCAGTGTGGGCGGGAGCAGCCAGAGGAGCCCTGGCTTGATGGCAGCCCTGGGAGAAGCCACGGTTTGTCCAGCTGCTCATCCGGCTGCCCCCGCCGCTGGGGTGAGGCAGTGTTGGCAGCCCCGGGAGAAGCTGCGGGGGCTGGGAGAACGAATAGGGGCTTCCCCCCAGCTGCTGGTTTGATCCCCTAGCTCCCAATCATTCCCCCAGCTACCGTAGCTTCTCCTGGGGCTGCCGACTCAAGCTCCTCGTCTGGCCACTCCCCCACCGGGGAGAGGCAGGCAGTGCTGACAGCCCCAGAAGAAGCCGTGACAGCTGGGAGGAATGATTGGGGAGCTGGGGGAAATAACAGGGGCTCCCCCCCAGCTCCTGGTTCGACTGCCCAGCTCCTGGTTCGACCCCCTGGACCCCGTAGCTTCTCCCGGGGCTACCAGCTCAAGCCAGGGCTTGTCCTGCTGCTCCTGTCGGTACTGCCTGCCTGCGTAGTGTAACGCCAAATAAGATTCAGTGCTGAATATCTTCAGATTTGGCTGAATTGAAATCGGGACAGTGATTCAAATCCAAATCTGAAGAGCGAATACTTTCTGCTTTGCACAGGCCTAATATTTATATATCTATCTATGTAAAATCTCTTACACACACACAAGCTTATTTCTAGAAGATGACATACAACTATAGTTTACCCAGGGAGGAGGCATACATGTAAAATACTACCTGGAGGGCTCATTCACAGATTGCTGGGGTGTTGCTTTCTGCTGTTTTACGCTATACTTTGCCTTTACGTGCAAAGACTAGCTCTGAGCTTTGTTTAAAAAACAAACAAACAAACATACATTGTGTCATTTCTAAAAATGTACATTAATAATTGCTAGAAATCTGTGCTTTAACCAAATAAAAGTAACTCAATAGAGCTTGGAATAAATCCACATTTGGATATGTTAATTATTCCTACCCAAGCTTGTTTCCAAATCACTTTTTCTATTTATGTTGTATAAACCAGCAAGTAGAGCCAGAATAACTGAATATGAATAATTAAACTGAACAGGATTAAACTCTGCGCTCATTTCTTACAGAGTTTCTAAATCAAAGATAATATATACCATATGGTTCTGCTTATAAGTTAGCTGCACATTTTCAGGTTCAAGGTTAGGGAAAAACATTTTTCCCAGGAATACAAATTGGTACTACAAATAAAGACTCTGACTTGCTACTGCCACTACAAAATGAATTAAGGAAAGAACCCAAAGAGTTAAAAAAAGGACTGAAAGAATTCTAACTTCGGGAGGGGGTTATTGCAAGTAGAACAGTCCAGGGTGCTGAGGTCCCACTGCAGGAAGACCTCAGATATAAATCAAATTTTTTTTATTCTTTTGGAGAAGGGAAAAAGTAGACTCATAAACAGAATAATACAGTATATTTTTAGACATCTCCAAAGATTTTTTTTAAAGTATTTGTTACCTGTCTGCTGAATGTGTTCTGTACATGCATCCAATAATCCTCAACTGGATCATAGCAGTATATTGCCTTGGTAAGCCCCCCGGCAACATAGATCAAATTGTTTAGAGATACAGCTGTTATGCATCTCTTTGCAATTGGGATAGTTGCACGGAGCAACCAAGAATTGGTATCAGGATCATAGGACTGAACCTGAAAGCAAGTAAAACATATTTTAAGTTTAACTTAATTACAAAGAAATCAACTACAGGTTGAAATACATACATGTTATGATTCAAGGAAATTAAAAGTATCAACTACATCTAGCTGGATGTCCCACAAAGTGAAGAACATGCCTGACAAAATATACAAGTTGCTCTGCATCTGCAATATTAAAACAAACAGAACCATTAAGCAGTAACAGATTATACCCTGGAAACTTATTTACTCATGAATATTGTTTGATCAAGTATTCTCATCAACTATTAGTGCACGAAGTCAAAGATGCTACAACTATGACAAACCGTATGAACAGTGTGCCCGTATTTTATTAAGCAGTTTTTCCTATTCTGAGTTATATAGTTAATATTCACAGAATAGAATAAGTCAGAAGATTTATAACCCAGCAAGACAAAAAACACTTACATTTTTATCAGTGTTATTAACATTTACTTCCTCTTTTCTTGTATATGGTTAACTGACCTTGTCAGAGCAGGTATTGTCATCAGGACCGCCACCAATCACAAATAACTTGCCCACACAGCTGGCCACTGCTGGAGAACTCACAGCTTCCTTCAGCGGAGCCACCTCTGTCCATCGATTAGAAAACGAATCATAACATTCTACACTGCTGAGTCGGCTTTGCCCATCGTAGCCTCCAACTACATATACCTGCGTAAGACAGTGAGAAACTGTCGTCATTTTGTACAATTTCCAGTTTTTCCTTAAGAAGGAAATTTAAACTCATACAAAGTGTCAGAAACTTAAGATTCTCATCTGTTGCACAAGTGAAAGCCTATTATTCTCAGAAAATTTCTTCACAGGAGAAAAGAAATACCATCTATAAAATTCTGATGTTAAGAATCCTGGGGGAACATCTATGTATTGGTATGTGCCAGATTAAGGAGTCAAAACAAACATCCAGCATACTACAAATCCAGTTAATTAATGTTCTGCAGTTCTCTTCACTTGCTACTAACAAACTGTATTCAGAAATAAAAAAGAAACTCCTTCCAGATTAACCTTTTTCTTAACTCCTTCCCTTCTGAAGGGACGTTCTTTCCTCTGGGTCACATTCTTTACTTGACTGCCTATCACATCAGTTACCTTTTATGAACCAGACATACAGATTTGTCATCTTCCACACATCATCACATCTACCTTCTTTCCTCAATTTGTTTTCCCTAACTTAATCCGTAGTTGAAGCAGCTGCTGTCCTCTATAAAGCCACATATTCAAATCACACTTTATATATGAGAGCTGAGGACTGCAGATCTTAGTAATTGAATATATGTAGGATAATAAAGGAAGCCTTCAGAAATATAGCAAGAACAGTTTCTGTAAACTGCTTTATATTTTGATTTAGATCTTCAATATACAGAATATTAAATAAAAAAGCCCTGGGATGCTACTGACAAGGTTGCTATCAATTTGGTTAAGCAACTGCAAAAGTTAAGAACTTGAGCATAAAGTAGGTATCGGGCACCTCTTAATATACAGATTTCTTTTTGAAAACATACACCTATATTTAAGCCATTCAAATGACCTATGATTTGTTTGTATCCATGGACTGCACTTCTTTTAGATCTTAATGCTCAGGGAGGAAAAAAAAAAAAGTTTCTCTTACTTTACCAAGAAGGACAGCCATTTTGTGTCTCCATCTGCCTTTATTTAGGGAGGCAACTCTGATCCAAATGTTAAGCTGAGAGTTATAAATCCAGACATCCCGGCTGTTTATTCTTCCACCTTTTTAAACAAAGCAAAGAATACAAAACAAAAAAAAAAAAAAAAAAAAAAAAAAAAAAAAAAAAAAAAAAAA